GCTGGGTATGGGAGGCCCACGGAGGTTTGTTGCTGGAGGCAGAAGTGGCAGAACCAGAGACGAATAGGCTGTGAGAGAGGCTGTAGGGAGCTCTAGGAAGCTGTTTATTCTTTTGGAGGACCTCATCAGGTCCTGAACTCAGCTGTTTTCATCACTGAAGGAGCTTGGGCTATGTGGCTGAGAATGGCTATGGTTCATTTTGGGGGAGCTCTGGTCAACACTTTGAGCATCGCCTCCTGGCTCTGGAGGGAAAGATGGTGTACTTAATCTTCTGGAGAAGCTTTTCATGTTGACTTTCCTGACAGGAACCTGGTTGTTCAAATCATCAGAGGAATTCACGACCTCATCATCACTGAAGATGGCTGTGATACCTTTCAGGAGAGGTCAGATACTTGCTTTGAGCATCACTTCCTGGTTTCAGTGAAAATCCCTCAGCCTGTTAGCACAGATCCTTCCTCCCACTGGCACAGACTTTCTAGCTTCCACCACTGACCTTTGGGCTTTCCCCATGCAAAGCTATGAAACAGGTCTGCATGGAATATTGTTGCGGGCTTTCTGACTTTTTTAAGACTTGTTGGAGACATTGTTATGGGCTCTAGGTCTTCAGCTGCACTCAAGCAGGACATTACCATTGAATTCAGGCCCTCAGCTGGATTCTTTAGTCGTGAGTGTGTGCACATATTTCCTGCATTGTCTTTATATTTGACGTTTTGGCTATTTTAAAATAATCTCATAATTAAGTGTCCTGTGCTATATTGCATTGTTTCCCCTTGAAAAGTTCCAAACTACAATAATATCTAAAGGAGATGAAATCAGAATGTCAAGGAGATGTCCGTCTTCCCTTGATCACTGCACCACAATTATCAATATCCATGAAGTGTAAGCAATGTAAAGGACTATCAAGAGAAGAATGGACAAATAAAGTGCACATATTCAGAGTGGAATTCCATTCAGACATAAAAAGTGATTATGTCCTATAGTGTGTGACAGCAGAACTGGAACTGGAAATCATTATGTTAGGTGAAATAACCCTTGCTGCAGAAAGACAAATGTCCCATGACTACACTAACATGTACAACCTAAAACTCTTATGTGTTAAGCCTGGAAAGATGGCTAGAAGACACCATTGATCATGATGCAGTGTGGAAGATAGGGACAGCTTCACCAATGCTTACTTAGTTACAGTAGATAAGAGCACAAAATCGCCATGTGCTATTAATACATGGTAAAGTGACTAGAACACAGTAATAACTTTTCATTTCAAAAAGCTCTAGAAAAGTGCTTTCAAAGTTTTCAGCATGAAGAAATGACTGACGTTTGATGATTATGGGTGTTTAACCTAATTTAAACATTACAATGTGTATTCATGTATTGAATCAGTACATGGTAAATAATGTTACATAGTACAACTTTTATGTTTTTGTATGTCAATTAAATAAATTTTTACAAGCATATATCATATCAATAGACAAGTAGACTGCTATGGTTGATTCAGTGTCAACTTGAGAAGTTTAGAAGCTTAACTATGCAACTCAACACCTCTACATCCTGGGGTGTAGAGGGCATGCCTCATCACATGAGGATGTTGTTCAGTATGTCAATTTGAGAAATTTAGACGTTTGCGTGACTCAGCAGGGGACAACAGTTCTCAGTAGACATCTGATCCTGTGCAAGAGGAGGACATGGAGATGCGTGAGTGCTTCACCACCCAAGGGTGGGTAGCCTGCTTACAATACAAGGGATGAAAAGAGGCTTCCTTTCCTCTTTGGTTTGCTGTTACTGCTTTTGCTGTCTTCTTCCACCTTGAACTCTTGCTCCTCAGTTATGCCACCGTGCCTTGGAACCAGCTGGCTATGGACATAAATCTCCACAAAATGTGAGCTAAGCAACCATTATTGATTTCCTATTGTTTTGTTTGGGGAAGTTCTGTATCATTTCTAACCTTATTTTTTCTTATTTTGTATTCCGTTTGGATAATAAGGAAAAATGTGAGCTAAATAAATTTTTCCTCTCTTAACTTTGGGCACCAGATATTTGGTTTCAGATACAAGGAAAAAGTAACTAAGATAGACCAACATAAAAAATAGAGAGCCTAGATATATATTGTCTCATATATTGACAAATGAATTTAAGAAAGGGTTTAAAGGCATTAACGAGTATATAGAATCTCTTCAACAAACAGTTCTGGGAAAACTGGATATCAATCTAAAAAATGTCTAATTTAGCATCCTACTTCATATATATATATATATATATATATATATATATATATTCCAAAATAAATCAAGGACAAAATCTTTGAGCTAACAATGCTACTAAATTTTTAGGAAAAAGAAACATCATGGAAGACTTCCATGGTGTTAGTGTCCTTTGTGATTTCTTGGTATCACAGACACACACACACACACACACACACACACACACACACAAATTAAGGGCTAAAAATAATGAATAGCCTAGACTTAAAATCTGAAAGAAGAAAGACATTATCAACAGAATGGAAAGAAAATCCACAATGTAGAAAGAGATATTTGCAAGTCAATTACTTGGTAGGAGACAGGGTACCACAACACATAAATAATACAACCACTCAACAACATGAGGGTGGACAACACATTTCTAGAATGGTTAAGAGAACTATGCACTCATTTCTCCAAATAATGTTTCTAAATAGCCAAGAAACTAAAGATAATGATGCCTGATATCTCTAATAATTAGGGAAAGATAAATTAAAACCACATTGAAGACACAGTACAAATTAAAACCATGTTATACCTATTAGAACCATTACTTCCAAAAAAAGAGAAAAATATAAGTATTGGTCATGATGTAGAACATCTATCTAATCATGGTGTGAACTGCTGGTGGGAATGTAAAACAAGCTAAGATAGCTTGAAGAACAAACTAAGACTGTCTCAAAATAAAACACAGCAAAGCAAAAAGGATTATGATATGATCCAAGAGTTGTAATTTTAGTTAAGTATATACCAAAAACAATTAGAAGTGTAAAGAGGTATTTCTGCATTCATGTTCATAGAAGGGCTATTCATGGAAGCAACCCAAATGTCCATTAAAGAATGAATGGATAAGAAATGAACAATGTAAGCAAGAGGACGTGATGCATCTCAAAAAGGAAGACAATTGTGATTTGTTTTATCATCTAAAAACACCTTGAAGATACAGTGCTGAGTGAAACAAGTCAATCGGTCAGGACCACTATTACATGACCCCACTTCTGGGACATATGTAGAAGAAGTAGAAAGTGCCATGGTGGTGGTTAGGAGGTGAGCTGAAGGAATTTGGGAGTCAGTGTTTAATGGCTAACATGTTACAGTTAGGAACAAGATAAAACAGTGCTGAGGATTGCGATGGCTGCACTATGTTATGGATGTACCTGATATCAGAAATGTAGAGTTAAAGTAGTTTCAATGAAAAAAATTATGTATCTTCAAAAGCAAAATAGTGTAAGAAAAATACCAAGAGTGGAAGAAAAAAAAATCACTTTAAAATGCACGTGAAATTAACAGAGAAAACTAACCAATTAAACAAAATCTATGAGAAAAATTGCAGTGAGATTACAGAAGTCTTTCAAACAATGGTTCCAGCACACCAGAAAGATGGATGAATTCTTGGTATTAATTACAGTGGAAAGTAAAGGCTAAGATAACGGATATGAGAGAGGGCAGAATAGTTAAATTAATAGTAAAATAAAGGGCTTCTGCAGGATTATATCATCTAAAAATGTGTGTACTTGACAGTAGTGGTAGTATAAATATATGAGATTTCCAAGCAAAAATAGGTGTAAATGAAGTGAACATATTCTGAACATACTGTGTGGCTGAGCTGCAAATAATACATTCAGTCACAAATAAAACAGCAAATTTTAATTAGCCCCCAGTTGTGATGATGTCATTCTTTTGGGAAAATAAAGGTGGTAATATATAAGGATACATGTTAGAGAAGATAGTGGAATCTCCAACTTTCAACCTAAAAGTTTGTAAATAAAATCTAAATTTGAATAATAATTTTAACTGAGTAGGCATAAAATTAGGAAATACAAAATTAACAGTCTGTTAAAATTATTGAATTAAAATGTTTGGAGCAGTAATAAAAGTGTGCGGGGTGAGGTGGAGTACAGAAATAGTTTTCCTTTCAGCCATTTTTGTTTATAAGCTAAGAATTTAAAAGTTTTGCAACAATCATATCATAGCTAATAAAAGTTATGGAGGTATGGAATACACAAAACAGGAAAACTGATGGACAGCTGGTCACTGGGAAACGAGAGTGAGACCTGAGCAGCTGTCACACAAGAAGAGAAAATAAAAAAGGGATAAGAAGAATCCAGACATACCATGTGCAGAAACAAGCAGCGTATGATTATTGTGATCATCACTTACCTCAGAAGTGTATCAATAAAATTAATTTCAAACAAGGGTAAGGATACCACCAGAGTTTTTAGAAACAGTAATATCTGACTATTTATGGTCTAAAACAATCACCTGAGAAAACCAGTAAGACTCTCAAGTGATTTTACAAAAATAGCTATAATTATTTATAAAAACAGTTTTAAAGAAAACAATGTTTTATCTTATAGAATAAAATTGTATTAGAAAAAATGTAATAAAGAAAAGATAAATCAATAATACTGATGTCTCAATATAGAACATAAAGGGATATATCCATTTTAGAATAATACTCGTTAAATGTGATTATTTTGATAACTTCACACGTTTGCTGAAGTATAATGTTCACATTATAGCCACATCGTAACAAAATTGTCAATTCAGTATAGCTCCTTCTAGCCAGTTCTCCTAATTCTCAACTTCTACTCAAAATTGAGAACACACTGAATAAAATACAAATATTTTGTCTGAGGTTTCAATATATATTTTATACACTTTTGTATTTATAGCTTAAAACAATGCTCAATTTTACATTGTTTTATTAAATTTTGATTAAAGTATATTATGTAAATATAATTCAAATTTTATGTAACTAACCTTTTTGAAAGAGATGCCTTGATTTTGTTGACTTCCTGCTAGTATCTTTTGCTTTTGATTCACATAAAATAGGGGAAACATCTTTTATCTGCTCAGCAGACATTTTTGCATCAGCAGGAGATACATTCTGTGAAAGTAAAAGCATTAATAGCATTGTCTAAGTTAGAGTTTTTGAAGAGCAGTCACATGCATTTTGTAGTTATCATTTATTTTAATTTAAAAAAACTTTGCTGTAGACAGCAGACAAAATATGGAAAGAGCTCCACAGTGTTTGAGTGTAATGAACTGTCTTTCTGCTAACTGCGATGTAATGGACAACGTCTCTGAGGATGGCCATACGCAGCCAACAAACAGACGTAAGACAGTGTGCCCTGAATGGCCTGAAGGAGGCTTAGAACAAGGGAGAGACGAAAGCTTTTTTCCAGGACACAGAGGCAGTAACACTAGGGGTGAAAGGGGAGTGTGATATTAAGAGAAAAAAATGGGACCAGATTAATAAACTGAAAAGTACAAGTGAATCAGGCAGAAGTGACAGGAATAATAAGTGTGAAATGGAAGAGGAGCTTCGTGGGGGTACTTTCAAATGTATGCTGAAGTGTCTCTGCAGGTGTGTTTGCATGGCATTGTGTGCTTCTCCTCATTTCACGCAGACGGTTACAGAGGATTGACAAGGTCACCAGGGACTCGAGCCTCTTCAGAATTCCCATATAAACTCTATCTTCTGAGTCTGTGTGACTTCTATCTGGGAACTTTTCTTATAAATCAAGACAGGTACTGGACCTCTGAGCACCATGCCTCCACTTCAGTCATGAATATTTACACTTGAGTTCCTATATTTCAGTCACAAAGAGAAAGGATGGGGAAATTACAGAGGGGCACATATCGTGTATCTGAAGGATCTCTCTTAGGACTTCTAAAGGCTTCGATAAAATCCACTTGGCCACATTGAACTACAAAGGAAAAAGTAAAAGAAAAGTGTACTGTTTTGCTAGAAAAAATAGACATATTTCATATAATGGTAAACTGATGATTTAGTACTGTATTTCTAGTTGTAGAGAATGGTGCCACTTGCATCCAACCCAAGTCAGATAAGTTCTCTAATATATCACAGCTGATAGGATTTCAAAAATAAAAATACATTTTTTATTTCCATTGCTACTTTAACTTGTGCTTATGCAAATTCCTTTACTCTACAGTTAAAAAAAATACACTGGAGTATACTTTCATATATACAATTTTCTGCCAAATTTTTGTACCAAACAATACACAGATATTTAATCAAATAGCAGGATTTCCTTTTGCATTTTAATGTGATGATTGCTAATTTATTGATTGATTGATTGATTGCAGAACTGGGGATTGAACTCAGGCCCTTGCACTTGCCAGGAAAGCACTTATTCTACTGGCTCGGCTAATTTATTGAAAACAATTTGTTGTTATGGAGTAATGCATCGAGCTAGGATATTCTGCTGTTGGTTACAGATACAAAGACTTATCTCTTTCTAGAATCAATCTCCAGTTTTACTGATTGAAAAAGTTTTTATTCATCAACACTTACAACACAATTTCTTTTCACTGTTTATGTGAAAAAATAATATTTTCCACTAGAAATGCAATTAAGTATTTTGAGCTCATATATTCTCTTTATATTTAGAATTATTCAATTTTCCAAAAATAATTATAATTCATAATAAAAAATGTTACCAAAATATGACACAATGTTAAGTATAGTCTATTCTATATTTTTAAAAAATCCAATTATTTCCATTAAACAAACAGGGTAGCGAGGTGTGGTTGTGCACGCCTGTAATCCCAGCACTACAGATGCTGGGGCAAGAGGATTGCCATGAGTTCAAGGCCAGCCTGGGCTACACTGTCAGTTCAAGGCCAGCTTGAACTATGAGACCTTGTTTTAAAAAACAAAGAAAACCACATATGTAAAATTGTAGTGCACTACTTGTTTTGGTTACTGTTCTCTCATTGTTGGACAAAATACCTGACACTCAGAATTTAGGAAGGAAAGATTTATTTAGCTCATAGTTAATGGAGGATTTAGTCCATAGTTGGCTGGCTCTGAGGTGGGGTGGCACATAGCAGAGGGTAGCTGTTCAAGGTGACAGAAAACAGCCAAACAACAAGGGCAAAAAGGGAGCAGCAGTAAGATCAAGCTTGAAAGAAAGAAAGAAAGAAAGAAAGAAAGAAAGAAAGAAAGAAAGAAAGAAAGAAAGAGCAAGCAAGCAAAGAAAAGCAAGCCTCTTTCCCTCCCTTACATTGTACGCAAGCTACCTGCCCTAGTGCCATAGCATGCGAGTAGCACCTAAGCCCAAAATCCCAGCACTTGACCAAACATTCATCAAACTCTACAAACTTGTTCTATGACTGCATGAGGCTTTGGGAGTACATCTAGACATAAAACTACTTGTATTCTAAAATTAAATCTGAGATAAGCAACTGCCATTGATTTCTTTTTACTTCAAATTCATAAATCCTCTTGAAAATACAGCAACATTCTTCTATCCTCCTATTCCCAAATATGATTTTCACTACTGTTTCTCCTTCATAGCAATGCAATTCAAATGTACCCTTTTTATTCTAGATAAAACATTTTTGTCTAACCATGAAAACAATGACTTTTTAAGGGTACTATTTTCATTAACATTTACTATTTTACATTTCTTGAAATAAGAAAACAAAACAGTGTATCTCTTAAATCTACTTAGCCAATTTCTGTTAATAGATGGTAATTTATAGAATCATAAAATTTAAAAGAGGCCGGGGAGATGGCTTGGTAGAATAAGTACTTCCCTGGCAAACACAAGGCGTGAGTTCATTTCCTGGTTCCGCAGAATAAATAAATAAAATTAAATAGGGATTTATTATGATCCTTTGAAAAATGTTTCACTTCATCCATTTATCCTTTTTTATACAATGATTGCCATTATTTGTCATCATTTGCAATAATTTTTCTTTCCTTCCATTTACAAATTAAACCTCATGGCAAGGGCCAGTAAGATAGTTCAGTGGACTAAAGTGCCTGCTTAGGCAAGTACAGTGACCATGGATGGGTGCCTGGCACCACACACCTCACCAGCGCCGCGCCCAGGGCAGGCTGAGCTGGCCACAGAGTCTGGGGCATAGTGGTGCATGCCTGTAATCCCAGCGCTGGCGAGGCTGAAAGCAGGAGGATCACTAAGAGTCTGAGCTTCACTGCATAGTGAGACCCTGTAACAACCAAATACATTAAAAAAAAAAAACCCTCACGACAAAAGTTATAGTTGAACACAAATAGAAGTTGATCAGACATCCAAAAACTCTAAGTAAACTACAATTTAAGGAAAGTAACCTGGTAAGAAAAACAAGCCATTAAAAGAAAGAATGTGAACACTTACTAACTGATTTATGAGATCAAAGAGAAGGGAAAGTTAGAGCTAGAAGAAAACTGGAGATGTTTCAGTAATAAGCACATATACCATTACCCATGGCACCTTAAATCTAACACTGGTGTTCAATAACTTTAGGGAATATTTTAAGGACATTTGATAACATTTAACTAAGGCACATTATAAAATGAAACCAAACTAGTGACATCAGATATTGCTTTCTTTGTGACAGGGTAAAAGATAATTCACATTCACATATCCATGGCATGATAAGCCTGCATTCAGCAGTATATTTAATAATTTATTACTTAGGAAATGTCGGTATTAATCAGTGGAGTTCAATGACAACATGGAAAGAATAAGGTTTAATGAAATGATGCCACTCTGAACACAAATCTCTAATGTCATAAGTCATTTCACCCCCCCCAGGCCAAATTTGTTCGTCATTTTTTGAGAGTTTTATTTTATTTTTAAAGAATATAAAATAGTGACAGAAGGCCTAGCCAGATAGTTCAGCAGACTAAAGTGCCTACTTAGGCAGAGCACAGTGCCTGGGCTTTGATCCCTGGGGCGCTGTGCCAGCCCTGCCCCTGGGGTGAGCTGACAGGGCGATTGAGACTGGGCGTGGTGGTGCGTGCCTGTAATCCCAGTGCTTGGGAGGCTGAAAACAGGAGAACCACTACGAGCCAATTTACACAGTGAGACCCTGTAGAACCTGTAAACCCTGTACTAAATACATTTTTAAAAAAATAGTGGGAGAAACGAACATTACAAACAATACAAACTTTCACTATAAACAAAGTAATAAGAATTTAACAATGTTTGCTATGTTACATGATGCTATCTTCAGATTAGTTGCTCAGCATGAATCTTGAATATTCATATCTGATCATTTCAGCAACTTGTTCAGCATTTTATCATACGATGTAAATGACAACATCCAAGCAATGTCTATCCATTGCCTGATGAGATGGTAAAGGAACAGATTCACTTAACACAAAACAGAAGCCTGAAGCGTCAACAGACTGCAGCAGTAAGTTAAATTAAGTACATATAATTAAATAAGGATAACAGGAGTGGAGTAAAATATAAGTACTCAACTGGGTGTACTGTTTTACTTAAAACATGAGTGATAAGAGGCCAAAAGTCTCTCGTTGAAGGTGAAATTAATTAGCAACTTGTTGAATCCTGAGATGAGACCCTAAGTCATATTCCCCTTCCATCTAGAATCAGGGTCATCACGTTTTGCCAGATTCATTTTTGATCCAAAACCTCCCTAAAGCATTGTGTCAAAGAAACATGTTCAGATGGAACGTGAGCAGAAAGCAAGCCACCTCTAGGTAAAGTGAGGTCCACAGAAATAGCCATGAATAAGTTTAAAATAAAGAGAAGTTAGCTAAAAGAGATTCAGGCCCCGACTTCTACTAATATCCATGTTCTTCATGCTGGACTATAAATCTGTTCTTTAAATGAGAAACAAATAGAATTGATGGTCTAATCCTTCTTTTAAAACTTTCTACCTAAGCAATTTCCAAATTTTGGCAATTGTGTCTTCAAAGTACACCTCAAACCAATTCATTTGTCTCCATTTTCACTGTTGTCTAGGTCATCATCTCTTCCTATTTATTCATAAATAAATCCTATTGAAAATTATAAAACATAGGTATTTTTACAAAATACATATACCCTGCTGAAGATATAAATCATATCATGTATTTTTAAAAAATTTTAAATTCTCAGATATCTA